TTAGTTTAGAATCGTATATAAGTCGAACATCCCGTAAAGAAGTTTATTTTGTAAGATATTACCGATTCAAACAAGCACATGTTTTTCCAATTATGAAATTATTATTATGAGTTTTTTTTAATTAACTATGAGCTCTTATATTGAACATATTAAATCGATAATTTAACAAAACATTAAATGTTATTATAATGTATCCTTATAAAACATAATAGTGACAACTGTGTAATATTTCTCTTGCAAAGGGAGTACTTGAGAAGTAACCTGTGTATAATATTTCAGAGGTCATACTTTATTTCATTAATTTCGCATTATTTTTTTAACTATAAATAAGATAAAAATTTTCTATATATTATTTATATAAAAATAAATTTAACCTAATTCAAATATTAACGCAGGCAATTCTGTGAGTCAACGGAAACCTCGAACACCGATAAATCCATTGTCTCCGACTGAATCTTCGTTCTCACCATACCGTGATGCAGAAGTAGTATATCCACTATCAATCCGGGATGTATATCCGTTTTTATGAAGGTAGATTCTTAAAGTGCATAAACATTGCCAATAAATTATCTATCTATTTATATAAGCAATAAATACACAATTCAATACTTGTTTTATTTTAGGCTTTCGGAGAGCAACAAAGAAGGAACCAGAACATGCAACTAAAAATAAAAGTAACGACAAAGAAAAGAAACCTACGAGCCACATACGAAAAAGGAATATCATATTGCCTTACATGTATTATTGGCAGTATTTGTATAGAGGATAAGATTCTTTATCTGTTTTTAATCTCTAACAATAATTAATTATTTTCACGATTGTTTATACACCTTAAGATTTGTATCGTACATTTGATGTGTTTTTGGAGAAAGAAATAAGTTTTTAATCTAACAATAAGCCAAAACTAACTAGTTTTCTTACTCTATATCTGTAATAGCATATATATAAATGCATTAATAAAATAATGAAAATGCGGATGCTATTTTGCCAAAACCTACCAACAATAAGGAAACAATTTTCAATAATCCGAAGAACATAGTAGAAAAGTCGATTAATAATGAAAAAAGCAATATTAAATATAATAAAGATATAATAAAACATATGATAAAAAGATAAAAGATCTCGTCAAATACGTTATAAGGAACATTACATTACATTATTACAGAGATTCTTCGTTATTCTTGTTTTCGAAAATAATAACAAATTTCTAAAACTTCTAGTGTTTATTTCAATAATAAAATTAAAAAAATAGTTATTTTGTTTTTAAATATTTTTCTTTTTTTATATATTTGCTCATGTAAAAAAAATATATAAATAAATGTATAAACAGACATAAATACATTATTTAGGATAAAAATATATTGGTTTATTTAGAAAGATTGCAATAATTTTTATAATAAAATTGAAAACAATTTTCTTATGTTTAGAGTCATCTTTGTTCAATAATATATGCACCGTTGTTTTCGACATCTTTTGGCCATCTTTAACAACTTGTGCATTTATTACTAAATACAGATATATAAACATATAAAAATTGCTGTCAATCCTGTTACAAAAAAAATGTACAAACTTTCTGAATAATTCTATATATCTTGCTCTGATCCGTCAATCATGAAATATATTAATTATATCTGATATAAATATATAATACATACCTGATTCGCAACAAGCAAATGGTTACTTTTTTTATTTAATAATAAGACCTTTTTTGATATTTCGTAAAATTTTTTGCATACACTGTTGAGCTGTAATAAAGTATATACATCACATAAATTGAAAATTATTAGCAATACTTCGTCCGGTAAAATGCCTAGGAGAGACATATTTGTCTTTTTATTTGGACGTTATCACATGAGAATATGAACACTACAATATGACAATCGGCCTATGCTCAACACTAAACGCTATACTAAATCCTAAAACCAGAGTGTCTAGAACGGTACACCGGCCTGATCACAGACATCAATTATGTATACTAAACTGCTAACAGCCTTAAGTAAAATATATAAAAACAAACTCTGCGTATTAAATTCTCGCCTATGTGAGAACGCTGATGGACAGCAGTCATCTTTTAATTAGTTGATGAATTTAAATGTTATGAATATAATATAATTCAAGTCAAAAAATTAAAAAAATATAATTTAGTATTATTATAATAAGTATATATATTTATACTTATTTTGTAGAAAAATACAAAATTCGTAATGAAAAAATACAACTTTTAAGGTAAAAACTAAAATATATGAAATAATTACTTAATTGTATTTATTTAGCAATGTTTACACAATTATAAAGTAATGATGCAATTCTAAAGAATATTTGGAGAATATTTAACATCTTTACACATCCTTTTGATGTTCAGTACGGTCTGACAATTTTCGATTAAGGGCCGATTATATCAATTTTTTGATAGACTTTATTTCTCTGTTACCTAAAATAAATATCACTAATCCTTACTCGATGGTTGGAATAACGAGTAAAATTACTTCTTTGTAATAAGAATTTAAGCTGTAAGTAATCATTATCAACAAATTACTGATATACATATATTGATGCAAGAGTTATTGATATTTCTTGATGTTTGTTTCTAAAGTCTACCAGAAATTTGTTAATAACCTAAAATTTTAATCGCGGTTTTCACAAAATAAAGTTTACGAAATTAATGTGCAACATATTCCAGTCAGTTTTAGTCTAATTAATTAAAAATTTTTTTTAATTATTTTCAACAGTATGTTTTATTGTCATACGTACAGTCTTTATTTTATAACAATTTGTTTTTTAAAAAATTTTTTCTGCCAGCATACGTAATTTTTATAATTTTTAAATTTTTTAACTTCCGTACGTACGACTATAACGTCCCGAAAAAAAATATATAATTAATTATGAAAAGATCTGATAACAAGTAATATTTTATACGATCATATAAAATTGCATATGTTATGAGATCTTTTCATAACTAATTACATATATTTATATCTGACCAATTATAACATTTTTTCTCGGGTCCAATATTGTTTCCTATTTCTTACGCGAAAAAAACGCGCATAACACGTCATTTGTTATTTATTCCAAATGTAGGAATAACGAGGGTAACATGTAGTCTATATAAAAATTTTTTTAAACAAACAATTTTGTTGCTTTTATTTAAAATTATCTTTATAAATACTTAAACGTTGTTTATTGGACGGGTTGGACATGCTTGTTTTTGAATTAATTGCCAGCGCAAAAGATTAAAAATCTTTTTTTTGTTTCGGACAAATAGATTTTGCACACGCTAATATTATATTTTAAGAAATATGGATTTTTGAAGTAGACATATTACATACAGAGATATACCATTTATTTTCTGTTTCATGACATTAAGTATATAATTTATGTAAACAATCAAAGTATAATAGTAGAAAAATTGTTAGTCAACTTTTTTATTTAAATAAAATTTCTAAAATACTTTTTCCTTGCAGCGTGGTCAAAAATGATTTTATGTCTAAAATTAAGTTGAGTCACACTTCCTAGTTCTGTAATAGTATACATATGAGAGCTATCAAATTGCACAGAAAGTACAGGGTTGGAACGGATAGAATTAATAAGAGATATTTGATACGTCTGAAAAGTTTTAAGACAGTTAATAATAAGTTATTAATTAAGGTCATTACAAAACACATAAAATTTAAAAATTATACAAACCTTAATGCAATTATTAAATCTTTGATCCCATAGACGTACTGAACCAATATCCGTCCCTGTCATAACAGTATACAAATAATCTGAAGAGAAACTATGTAATTTAGGATTTTTTTTTGAGACAGAAGTATTCCATGTACGTACAAAGTTTGATGTTCTAAAATCACAGTAGCAAATATAATTAAATTGAATGGCCAATTAATGTCAACAATAAGATCCATTACCTTATATCCATTTTTTTAATCTGACGTTCATACAACATAAGAATAGTGTGAGGATTTTCCCAAAGTAGTTGTGAA